AAAACTTCTGTGGATGACAAAGCATCATGAAATATAAATACTACTTGTCTTCCTCTCTTCTGCGATTATCAGGACAAGTTTCACCCTTACATACACAATCTACTCTCTAATCTTCTGTACTGCTTACCCTCTGAAGTTCAGACAAGTTCTCTGAAATGGCTATAAGACAAAGCATATGAGAGGGAGAATCATAAGGTACATATCAACTCACCTTCTTGTTTTTCTAAGCTGTTTTTGCCTGCACAGCAGTCTAGATGTTCATCAGCCAGAGAAAATACTTCAGAAAAATTGAACTCGTCCTCGCCCGTCCACCAGCCTTGACTCTGAGCGTAATTCCTGAGTTCAGGATGCTCTGCATCAATCCTTGTGGTGAGTGAAAGCTGATTACAAATGCACTTCACTCCCTCTGGAAAGAGGGCAAAGCCTAGTTAGTGGATTTGAACCGCCAGCCTTCTGGTTAGCAGTCAAATGCCTTAGGCACTATGTCACCAGAGCTCCCAGTTGAAAATATACTGGTGAAGAATTAATCAAGAAATGGAAATTTACAGGGAGTTTTCCACTTCAACTCGGACTTTAATGACTGAGAGAAATCAATTCATTTTTGAAGAAAGAAATAGACAATCCTTGGTACTCCTTTTAAGAAAACTCCTAGAAGGTTTGAATAGTCCTGATCTGGCATTATCATGTTTAAATGAGCAACACTCATTTTACTGATCTTAAATTCACAATGAAATGGAAATATGTCAAGCTCTTTATTCTGGCTAAATAAATCCTAAGCATTTATTACTTATACCCAAAAGTGAATGGTTCTTTGAAGGAGATACTGTGTTCCTAATATTAAAAAAAAAAAAAAAAAACTCACTGCTATTGAGTCAATTCTGACTCATAGGAACCCTTGTTGGGTCTCCAAGGCTGTAAATCTTTACAGAAGCAGATTGCCCAGTCTTTCTTCTGCAGAGCAGCTGGTGGGTTCAAACCACCAAATGCCTTAACTACTGCACCAACATAGTGCCTATGAATGTCAAATCTGTAGAGCCCTCTTCCCCAATTTGCTTCTGTTTCATCTAGAGAAATTCTTTACACCATCACCTCTCATCTGCCTAAATAGATAGAGTTTTTTAAAAATACAAATACCACACCTTTTCATTCAACATTTTTTCTAGTCCCAAAATTTAGAAAAATATAGTGGCACTGACAAGCAATCATTTTAAAATAAAGGATGTACCCTTGAGTATGTGTGTGTGTGTGTGAGAGAGAGAGAGAGAGAGAAATTTATGTAGATCCATTTTTTCTCATAAAAAATGTAAGTGCAGCTAAATAATCTGAAGTAAAAATGCCTGCATCCTGAGTACATTATCATAATGAACCAAGTTTAAGCCATAAATTCTCCTTACAGTTGGCACACTTGCTATGTCTTCTCCAAACCCTGAGCTGAAAATACACAGAGGATAAATTGACCTTTCAGCTCGAAGACACTGCTTAGAATACAAAAACTAAAAAGTTATCAGTTATAGCTCAAAATGACCATTCATATTTGCTGCTTCCAGGGAGCATGTTGAGTTTCCAAATTCTTGAAGAATGAATTAGAATGAGAAATAGCACCAAAACTACAAACTGCAATGAAGCCATTATTGTAACCAGAGCCAGTGGTGCTGGACTGAACCCTTCTAGTGTATGTTTCTTCACTAATTTATGTTTCTAAAATCAGCCATTCATCTCTTCTGGGAGCGACATAAGAGTTATATTACCAATTTTTTTAAAGTATACTTTATCCTAAAGAAATTATTTTAACATTATTCATACCATGCTACTAAGGAAATCTTGTGAGCAACTCCATAAAGGTTATTTTTCCTAAAGGGCTGATTTATAATAGATGTTTGTTTTCAAGCATTTTAGCATTCAAGGGATAAGTTCATTAAATCCTATGGCAATTACAAAGCTATTGGGATTGGGAGAATCCAAATCAGTGAATCCGAGGAATAATTGTGTGGGTTTTTTTGTTTGTTTTAATCTAAATATTACAAGAAAGACAACATTGACTTTGAGGACATGGATTTTTTAAGCTATATTTTGAAGGAGAGCTCAGCTTTTGAAATGCAATCACAGATCAAAAAGTTCTACTTAAAAGAAATATGACTGTTTTAAGCATTGAAACAGTCTTCTTAATGGAAACATTCAATGACAAAACATCATCTTTGGAGGATTTTTTATAAATGAGTTTTAAGTTTTTGCATTTTGGAAGCTTGGAGACCTGATGGCCCACACTGGGGCATTAGTTTTATAAATATTGTAAGAGTTGGTCAAGCAGACACATGTTCTGGCAGGTATATACCAGGCATGCATGGGTTGCAGAAGCCCTCTAAGATTGCTGACTGGGCACCATTAGACATTCTGCATCCTTGTGGGGATTAAAAGAAGCTTCCCACTCCTTCGGGTAGACATAGCCTTTGCATGGCTTGGTCAGGAAACCACAGGCTGGATTTTGTGTACTGCCTTGTATTGGGTAGAACATGCTCATCATTCACAGTAGCCTGATCCCTAGACTGACTTTGGCCACAGAAAACAATGGATTTGCTTCACAACTACTGCAATTGATCTTCTGCTTCTAACTCAAGGTCAAATTTGGTTCCAGTCACATCAAAGGTAAGGTTTCAAACAACCCTTACAACATTTCTGATGATTTGGAGGAACTTCCTGGTGAATTCAGCTAAGAAAAATTCAGAGACCAATTATAAGCTCAATAAAAAGAGTGCTGTGATCTACTAGTGTTGTTTGCCAGAGCACAGGAGGGGAGAATGGCAGCACACATGCCAGTTCTCCCTTAGAACTTCCTCTTGGAAGACTTTAAACCCATTCTGGGATCCCATCCATCCATAATGAGGATGCTGAGGTGATGCTACAAGACCACTGCTCTCACTCTTAACATTTCCTTCCACAGAACCATCTTAGAAGCAAGGTACTGGAGAGTCCACAGAGCAGCAATTTTATCCTTCTGAGTGGACCACCTAGTCCTCTGCTCTTCCAGGAAAAAGGTCTCACAGAGAAATGGTCCTTTTGGCCCAGCATGACATTCAATGGTAGTAACATAGATCAAACTTCCTATTCTAGAGGAACATTCCAAGCACAAAGAGTTATAGGGTTGGATATAGCAAGTGGCAGCTCTGTGTTGAATTGATTCATTGACCTATTATGAATGGAGAAACATTGTTCCCTTAGACAATTAATAGAGTAATGATTTGGATCAAGGAACTGCTGAGAGTCAAAATTGAGTTTTGTCTAGAAAGCAAACAGAAAATATGCAATGTTAGGAATGCAATTCCCAAATGTCAGCATCTCCTGACTCCAGGTTCAAGAGATGCCGGGTTCTAATCTGGAAGCACAAGCTCAGGAATGAGAGGTATGTCTCAGCATGAAGACCCAGCACAGAGAGGGTCTGCAACAGCAGCAAGACTGCACTAGGTCTGAGCCTGCAAGTATAAGTGCCATCCACCCCAGCTTTTCTCCATCCTCCAAACCTTTCATCACCCATGTCCACTCACCTGTGATTTTCTCAGCTGCCCAGTACTTCCCTATCGTCTCAAGCACCCAGGCTTCTTCACGATCCACAAGCAGGTATGCACTTTGGAAACTATGGCAGGAGTTTGCATCTTCATAATAATTTCCACCTTGTCCATGTTCTTCCAACAAGGAGACAATAACATCTAAGGCTTCTTTAGCTGCTGCCCCTCTTTCTAAACCCAGCCTGAAGTAAGGAAATAAGAAATGCACCACAGTCAACTCAAAGTACGTGATTATTACCATAGTAATGAAAGACTCAGCACTCGTCTGCCAGTTTGTCATACTGTAGTGGCTTGCGTGTTGCTATAAGGCTGGACACTGTGCCACCGATATTTCAAACACTAGCAGGGTCATCCAGGGTGGACAGGTGTCAGTGGAGCTTCCAAACTAAGACAGACTCAGAAGAAGGAAGGGGCCATTTACTTCTCAAAGAATTGTCCAGTGAATACCTTGTGAATAGCAGCAAAGCACTGTCTGATATATTACTGGAAAATATTATGAATAGCTGTAAAACACTGTCCAATATAGTGCCAGAAGATGAGCCTCTCAGGTCAGAAGGCACTCAAAATACAACTAGGGAAGAGCTGCCTTCTCAAAGTAGAGCTGACCTCAGTGACATGGATGGAGTAAAGCTTTCAGGACCTCCATTTGCTGATGTGGCATGACTCAAAATGGGAAGAAACAGCTGCAAACATTCATTAATAACTGTAACATGGAATGTACAAAGTATGAATCTAAGAAAATTAGAAGCTGTAAAAATGAAATGGAACACATAAAGATCGATATCCTAGGCATTAGTGAACTGTAATGGGCTGATATGGGCCATTTTGAATCAGACAATCATATGATCTACTATGCTGGGAATGACAAATTGAAGTGGAATGGCGTGGCATTCATTGTCACAAAGAGTGTTTCATGATCTATCCTGAAGCACAATGCTGTCAGTTATGGGATAACATCCATATTCCTACAAGGAAAACCAGTTAATACTACTATTATTCAAATTTATGTACCAACCACCAAAGCCAAAGACAAGGAAATTGAAGATTTTTAGCAACTCCTGCAGTTGGAAATTGACTATAAATGCAAATCAAGATGTGTTGATTGTCACTGGCGACTGGAATGCAAAAGTTGGAAACAAAGAAGAATCACCAGTAGTTGGAAAATATGGCCTTGGTGTTAGAAATGATGCGAGAGATCACATGATAGAATTTTGCAAGACCAACAACTTATTCATTGTAAATACATTTTTTCAACAACATAAATGGCAACTATACACATGGACTTCACCAGATGGAATACACAGGAATCAGATCTACTACATCTGTGGAAAGAGGCAATGGAGACTCAGTATCTTCAGCTACAACAAGGCCAGGAGCTGACTGTGGAACAGACCATCAACTGCTCATATGCAAGTTCAAGTTGAAGCTAAAGATCATTAAAACAAGTCCACAAGAGACAAAATATGACTTGGTTATACCCCACCTGAATTGAGAGATGATCTAAAGAACAGATTTGACACATTGAACACCAGTGACAGAAAACCAGACAAATTGTGAGATGACATCAAGAACATCATCCATAAAGAAAAGCAAAAGGTCATTAAAAAGACAGGAAAGGAAGAAAATACCAAAATGGATGTCAGAAGAGACTCTCTCTAAAACTTGCTCCTGAAAAGAGAGTAATTAAAGTGAATGGACAAAGCAATGAAGTGAAACATCTGAACAGATTTCAAAGAACAACATAAGAAGACAAAGCCAATTATTATAACGAAATGTTCAAAGACCTGGAGTTAGAAAACCAAAAGGGAAGAACACACTCAGCATTTCTCAAGCTGAAAGAACTGAAGAAAAAATTGAAGCCTTGCGTTGCAATAGTGGAAGAATCTATGGGTAAAATATTGAATGAGCAGGAAACATCAAAAGAAGATGGAAGGAATGCACAGAGTCACCATACCAAAAAGACATGGTCAATGTTCATCCATTTTAGGGGGTGGCATATGATCAAGAGCTGATGGTACTGAAGGAAGAAGTCAAAGCACATTGAAGAAAGTGGCAAAAAAAAAAAAAACCCACAAGGCTCCAAGAATTGGCAGAATACCCACTGAGATGTTTCAACAAATGGATACCACACTGGAGGCACTTACTCATCTATGCCAAGAAACTGGAGGACAGCTACCTGGCCAGCTGACTGGAAGAGATCCATATTTGTACACATTCCAAAGAAAGGTGATCCCACAGAATGTGGAAATCATTGAACAATACCATTAATATCACACACAAGTAAAATCTTGCTGAAAATAATTCAAAAATTATTGCAGCAGTATATTGGCAGGGATTTACCAGAAATGTAGGTTGGATTCAGAAGAGGATGTAGAAGGAAGAAATATGATTGCTGATGTCAGATGGATCTTGGGGAAAAGCAGAGAATACCAGAAAGATGTTTATTTGTGTTTTATTGACTGCAAAAGTATTCAATGGTGTGAATCATAACAAATCATGTATAACATTGAGAAAAATGTGAAATTCAGAACTCTTAATTGTGCTCTTCAAGCACCTGTTCATAGACCGGGAGGCTTTCATTCAAACAGAGCAAAGGGATACTGCATGGTTTAAAACCAGGAAAGGAGTGCATCAGGGTTGTATCCTTTCACCACACTTAGTCAGTCTGTATGCTGAGAAAATAATCCAAGAAGCTGGACTATATGAACATGAATGCAGCATCAGGATTGGAGGAACAGTCATTAACAACCTGTGATATGCAGATGATGTAGCCTTGCTTGCTGAAAGTGAAGATTATTTGAAGATTAAAAACTTAGTCTGCAGGATGGATTACATCTCAACATAAAGAAAACAAAATCCTCACAACTGGACCAATAAACAGCATCATGATAAGTGGAGAAAAGACTGAAGTTGTCAATGATTTCATATTACTTAGTTCCACAATCAACAGCAATGGAAGCAGCAGTCAAGAAATCAGACAAAAGAAAGAAACCAGACTGGGCAAATCTGCTGCAAAAGACCTCTTTAAAGTGCTGAAGAGCAAAGAGGTCTCTTTAAAGAGTAAGGTGCGCCTAACCTAAGCCATGGTGTTTTTAATCGCCTCATATGCATGTGAAAGCTGGATAATAAGGAAGACCTAAGAAGAGTTGATACTTTTGAGTTGTGGTGTTGGCAAAGTGTACTGAAAGTACCATGGACTGCCAGAAGAACTAATAAATCTGTCCTGGAAGAAGTGCAGCCCGAGTGCTCTTTAGAAGTGAGAATGGCCAGACTTCATCTCACCTACTTTGGTCATGTTGTGAGAAGAGACCATTCCCTGGTGAAGGATATCATGCTTGGTAAAGTGGAGGGACAGCAAAAAAAGGAGAAGGCCCTCAACGAGATGGATTGACACAGTGGCTGCAACAATGGGCTCAGATACAGCAAGGATTGTGAGGCTCGTGCAGGACCAGGTAGTGTTCATTCTTTTATGCATATGGTCACTATGAGTCAGGGTCAACTTGACAGGACCTAACAACAACAGTGAAAGACTAGGACAAGGCTAAGTTATGAATCATGCCAACATGTATAAACATGTTAATACACAGACAAATATGCAAACAGATTACATCATGTGATGTTTTCTAGACAGCCACTATTCCTACAGACAGAAGGATCAGGAATCCAGTCATCAAAGAAATCTAGCCATCTCTCTTTCTCTCTTCTGACTCTGTCTCCCATGTAGCTCACCAGCTCAGCTCTAGCTCTTAGTAGACCCTCTTTTGTGGTTTTTTCCTCCTCCTGTCTCTTACCTAAGCAAAAGGTAGTATCAACCTAAACTAGCCTTGACCTCTATTGTCTGCACCCGGTATTTTTGTTAGTAGTACAAAGTGTTCAACTGTCAGCCATTGTCCTCTGGGAAGATAATTTGCTTAGAGATCACACTAAGGATGGATTGGGCTGGTTAGAACGTGATCAGTCCTTGTTCTACACATTTCTCTTCCTAACTATCAGCCTCTTTTGAATGACCTTGGGTAGGTTACAAAATATACTCTTTGTATAAACTTCAGCTTTATGTCACCTATAAAATGAGGACCTAGAGTATTGGATTTCCATAAAGATAGATCTTATGAATAATGAGCATGAATATACATAGCATTAGTACCCAGGGCCAAGTAAATGATTAACAATTTTCGGCAGGCAGCCTGCTGTGGCAGAGAAATGTATGTTTCAGAGATAAAGGAAACTAACTTCTAGTTCTGGTTGTTTATAACTGGCAGTATGATCAGTATGGCAGTGAAATATTAAGTAACGTAACCTTTCCAAATCTTGGTTCTCTCATCTGTAAAATGAAAACAATACTACCTCCCAATCAGGCTGATATGAAAGAGGCTGACACATAATATGTACTTAGTAAATGTCCATTTATTCATCTGTTCATTCAAATTGTAATTCTAGTGACAGGAACATAAGAGTCTTAGAACAGAGGCAATGAGCCTGCTAAGATGGAAGTATCGACTAGTTCTTGGCAAATTTTCCACTAGAGAAGAATAGCTATTAAAATTCAACCCATTTGATGCTTTCGAAGGATCATTTCAGTGTGCTGCCAGGGAGAAGAACAGATAATGCAACTAACATGCTACAGACTTACTCCTGTAGCAGGCTGATTTTCATAGTCAGATAATTATAAATCAATTCATTTTACATTTTTCCATTTAAGTTTATTTAGGAAGACTTGGTTATAAGGCAGTGATTTATGAAACTGAACATCAAAGACCTTAGGAGAGTGATAAAAGAAAAAGTCCATTAGAAGACTGAATTAAGTAGACATTTCTACTGGCCAATGTCATCTTCTCCAAAACTCACTAAAAAACCATAGCTATTGAGTCAATTCCAACTCACAGCAACCCTATAAGACAGAGTAGAACTGTTCCATAGGGTTTCCAAGGCTGTAAATCTACAGATGCAGACTGCCTCATCTTTCTTCCACAAAGCAGCTCATGGTTTCAAACCATCAACCTTTTTGGTTAGCAGCCAAATTCTTTCTTTAACCACTGAGTCAGGAGTAAAACCAGTTGCCATCAAGTCACCTCCAACTAATGGTGACTGAGTAGAACTGCTTCATAGCATTTTCAGTGCCTAATTTTTCAGAAGTAGGTTGCCAGGCCTTTCTTCCTAGATGCCTCTGGGTGGACTCAGACCTTCAACCTTTTGGTTAGCAGCCAAAATTAGCTGTTTGCATCACACAGAGCAGCTCTGATCTTACTCAGAGGAATCCAGAGCAAACAAGCTTGCCATGAGCACCTCACAACCAGAAGCTTTCCACACCAAAAGGGTCTCCCTTCCTCCCGGAAGCTTTCCACACCAAAAGGGTCTCCCTTCCTCCTTTCCACAGGCCCCCTGAGTGGGCCCATGGTCATACTGCTTCATCACACATTCCAGGCAGAACCCTGTTCCCAGGGCCTTTGCAGAGCCCAGCCTGTCCATGCAAACATGCACCAGGAGTATATAAATATCTATTGCTATTGTTAGTTAATTGCTCTTGAGTCAGTTCCAAGTCATGGAGACACCATGTGTGCAAAGTGGAACTGCTCCATAAGGTTTTCAAGGCTGTGACCTTTCTAAAGCAGATTGCCAGGCCTGTCTTCTGAGGTGCCTCTGGGTAGGTTTGAACAACTAACCTTTTGGCTAGTCACCTAATGTTTAACCACCAGGGGCTTCATCTATGCATACCTAGCCAGCGGCAACAGCCCTGTCTTTAGAAGCTGTCACTCCTCTTTTGCAGTTTCTAACTCACCTTTTTGCCTTTGCCTTCCCTGATGCTCTGCCTGTTCGAAGTCCACACTGCGACTCCCAGCACTTTCTCTGACCCTCACGCACTGCTCTGATGTCCCTATGCTCACAGCTTCTGCAGCAGGACTTCAGCATTCATCCACAGACAAAATTCAGACATCCCCTTCTGAGCCCTTACGCCAGGGTCATGGGTAAAAGATGCTCCCTTGTCCACCTGGTCAACCTGCCACCAGACACCTGCTCTCCAGTTCAAGGCCATGAGTGTGACACCAGTGTTGTACACTTTCCACCTGAGACTGACAGGAACAGGTAAGTCATACATCACTGGGTGCAGACAGGGCTTCAAACCAGTTCATTCCAGTTCAACCCTCTGTTAAGAATTTGCAAATTATTAGCAGATGATCAAACTAGTTCAAAGCCCAGAGTACAGAGGAGATGCCAGAGACCATAGCTGCAGTGATCTGGGTCCACAAGCCACACAACATTAAGTGGCCTATTTTAAAGCCTTTCACAACTGCCTAACTTCCTAGATGGGGAAGATTTACATGATTCAGAAAACAGCATTTGCTGGGGCCCCAACTCCAAATTTTGCTTTAGCTGCTACACCTCAGCATGGGCACGACCAGGGCAGAGGAAGGGATAAACTTAACTAGGTCAAGGTTAGAACCTTGCTCTGACATTTACCCTTACATATACAGGTTTATCCAAATCCTTCCAAGGTGTGGGCTTTGTTTAGGTTGCTCTGAATTTAAATCCTAGTTCTATGGGAAACCGTGGGAAAAAAAAGTCCTTATTTGGGGCCCAAGACCTTCTCACAGGTATGTCAGCTTCACTCTGCCTTCTTGGAGAGGCTAACACATTCCTAAGGAGGATGAGTAACATCTGCACTTCCTCAGTTTAAAGCCCCTTTGTTTAGGAACTCTGCTTGCTTATCTTTTTTATATCTATATCATTGATCAGGGAGGCAAATAAGGTGAAAGTTATAATTAGATTTACTATGAATATATCATTGCTGCTTTGGGCAAGTAATGAAAACAGTCGATTGCTGTTGTTAGCTGGTACTGAGTCAGCCACCAGCCCCTAGCTTATGGTGACGTCACAAACAATAGAAGGAAACACTGCCCTGTCCTGTGCCATCCCCATGACTGGCTAGGGACTGGGACACTGCAATCCATAGGGTTTTCATTGGCTAAATTGCAGAAATAGGTCACCAGGCTTTTCTTCCTACACTACCTTAGTCTGGAAGCTCAGTTGAACATGAGGAGTACTGGCCAGGAATCAAACCTAGATCTCCCTCATGGAAGGCAGGGATTCTACCAATGAACCACAATGGTCCCCATGAGAACAGTCAGTATTCCTTCCCCTACAGGACTGGGCCTGGTACTCCTGTAAGGAAGGGCTCATCTGCAAATAATCCACCATCTTCCCATATACAATAAGTCTGCAAGGTCCTCTGAGGCATCTGAAGATTCCCAATCTTCAGCCAGAAGGCTGGAAGCAGGAAAAGAATATGAGAATGTTAAAGGCTGCATTGATTTGAAGGACGAGTATGTGAAACTTTTTCACTAATCTCTATCTCTTGGTGTCCTGAGCTCTCTGCCTCATTAGAAGTAGAGGAGTATGATCTAGAACAGAGGGGAGTAGCCTCCCTGAAATAATCAGGTTAGTATACCTGGCTCTGCTACCTCCCAGCTCTGGGGCCTTGAGCAAGTTACTTAACCTCTCAAAGTCCCAGTTTCCTCATCCACTAAACAGGAAAAACATACCTACTTCATGAGCTTGTTGTGAGAGTTAAATAAAATGATACATACAAGCCCCATCTAATAGGGTTCAGGAAATAGCAATTCTAATTACAAAGGTTTTTCCATCCTGCAGATATTGACCAGGCCCCCATACAAGTCACCTGTGAGTCCAAGAGCCTAAAGTCAACTTTACACTTCCAAATCTTCAAGGACTTCTGTGTTTGTTTGTTTGTTAAACATGCCAGAGGTCTGATGGGATAGGCCCAGAAAGGTTCTGAATAGTGGGACTGACTAGGTTTTAGTGACAAAGTTAATTAAACACAAATAGGAGCAGCAGGAGTCAATCTTCAAAAAAAGAAAAGAATAAAGCAGCCATGCAAAAAGAAGAAGAGGCATAAAACACTAAAAAAAAAAATGTGATGTGCCATGGCCAGCTCAGAGAGAAGATTGTCAGAATTTCAGGAATTTTGAGCCAGTTGCTAGACCACAGGTAGCTTGGAATCTGTTGTGGTGGAACTATTTGCACCATGGAAATTAGAAAAGGCTACAAATCAGGGCTGTCCCACACCAAGCCAATTATGAAACATTGAGCAGCATACCAAGGCCCTGGGTGGTGCAAATGGTTACACACGTAGCTACTTACCTACAGCTTGTGGTTCAGACCCACCCAGAGGCACCATGGAAGAAAGAAAGGCCTAATGGACCGTAAAGAGTATAGCCAAGAAAGCCTTATGGGGCAGCTCTGCTCTGTAACATATGGGATCGCCATAAGTCAGAACTGACTCGATGGTAACTGGTTTGGTTTGGGGGCTTATCAGCATACACCGACTAATAGGTTCCAAAAGCTTTCTAGTTCTCATCCATTTAAAGACATCGATACATTATTATAAGAGCTATACCTTGGATTGTAATAGATACCTCTATATCCAGAAAATAAATTCCCATGTCTAATGACAATTCCAGCCAGCTACTTATTATTTGGAATCAATCTCATGAAACATGCAAACATGTATATATGCAGTCATGTGATTTGGAAGAAAGAAGTAGTTGTCAGATTTTCATGGAGATCAATGGATCAAAAAAGACTGACAAAGCTTGGCTTTTAGCATAAACATCACTGAAAATGAATTATGAAAATAGATTGAGATTGGGGAAAAACTTTGGAAAACCATATATCTTGATAAAGGTTAGCATCCAGAATATATAAAGAACTCCTACAACTTAACAACAAAAAGACAAACAACCCCAATCAAAAAATGGGCAACAGAATTGAATATGCTTTCAGCAAAAAGAATATACAAATGGCCAACAAACACATGAAAAGATGATTGACATTATTAGTGTTTAGTCAAGCAAATCAAAAACACAATGACATACCACTTCACTACCACTAGAACGAGAATAATCAAAGAACAGAAAATAACAGATGTTGATGAAGATGTGGATAAATTGAAACCCTCATCCATTGCTATTGAGAACACAAAATGGTACAGCCATTGGGGAAAACAGTTTGGCAGTTCCTCAAAAAGTTAAATATAGAATTACCATCTGACCCAGCAATCCCACTCTTAGGTATATGCCAAAAAAAAGGAGAGCAGGAACACAAATAGAAACTTGTACACCAATGTTCACTGCAACATTGTTCACAGTAGACAAAACATGGAAACAACCTACATGTCCATCAATAGATGAATGGGTAAACAAAATGTGATACATACATACCCTGCCATGAAGAGAAATGAAGTCCTGATACATACTACAACATGGATGAATCTTGAAAATAGTCTATCAAGTCTAATACATTAGTCACAAATGGCAAATACTGTACGATTCCACTTATATGAAATATCTGTTGTTGTTGGGTGCCATAGAGTCGATTTCGACTCATAGTGACCTCATGCAACAAAGCAGAACTGCCTCATAGGGGTTTCTAGGCTATAATCTTTACAGAAGCAGATTGCCAGGTCTTTCTCCTGTGAAGCTGCTGGATGGATTTGATCCACTAACCTTTCGTTTAATAGCCAAGTGCTTATCTGTTTGTGCCCCCAGGGTTCCTTATGAAATATCTAGAATAGACAAATATATAGAGACCAAAGTCTATTAGTAGTTACTAGAGGTGGAAGGCAGGGAGGAAAAGGGTAGTCTTAGCTTAGGGAGCACTGAGTTTCTGTTAATGATGGTGGAATAATTTGGAAACAGGTAGTGCTGATGGTTGCACAACATGATGAAAGGGTAAAGTGTAAATAGCCCACTCTCACAGGAGATGTCCAGGAGAGTACTGGCATCCAAGCAGAGTACAAGCAAGGACCAAGGAAATAAAGCTACTTTGTGTAGCCAGCAACCTAGGGAAATACTGAGCCCAAAATTGAGAGGACACAACAAACTAATAGAAAGTTTCCTCTGGAGTAGTAGTTCTCACCCTTTGTCATGTATCAGAATCATCTGCAGGGCTTGCTAAAGCACAGCAGGAGTGGGGGCTCCAGAACTCACATTTGTAACAAGTTCTGAGGTGATGCTGGTGCCACAGATCAACAAACCACACTGGGAGAACCACTACTCTATCACCTTGCCACTTGAACTGTGGTTTGTGGGTCCACCACATCAGCATCACCTGGGAGCATCAGAGAACTTTAATATACTCTCGTGGTGCTGTTGTTAAAGCATTAGGCTGCTAACCAAAGTGTTGGTGGTTCGAACCCACCAGCCACTCTGCAGGAGAAAAATGAGGCAGTCTGCTTCGATAAAGATTTACAGCCTTGGAAACCCTATGGGGCAGTTCTACTCTATCCTATTGGGTTACTCTGGGTCAGAAAGCACTTGACAGCAATGGGTTTTGGTTTCCTGGCTTCTCCGTCACTTTCAGGATTCCTTTGGAATGAAACAACCCTTCAGAATCTGCCCCTGCTTGGTCGAACAGATCAGTGACTGTTTAAGCTGAGACTAGACCTTGAACTCATGGAGACTTGAGGAACATATGAGGTCCAGGTCTTCTTCATGCCCCTTTATTGCAATAGCTGGACATGGTTAGCCAGGAAAGCAGTTAAAATTAAATGGCTAAGATTAAATCCTCACCACCATGTCATCTACTCCCGACATCTGTTATTGTCCCAGACCTTGCTAACTATCACAACACCAATTATGTTCCAAATATAACTTTCCTGTCTCTATCCCTCAGCCGTGTCGACTCATGTCTGATGCACCTCTGTCTCAAATGTGCCCATTCTGTGGAATCTTGAATAACCAGCAGTGTTTGCTGAGGGCCATACCTGGAAATCTGTTGTTTGTGTGGCTACCAATCTCAGCCTGCTTTGAGACACCTCTCTCCTACCGTTATCTTGAATGTTGTCTCAAAGATTACATCAAAGGCACACATCATCACTGATGTGTCACAGTGATGTGTGACTATGTTACAAAATA